TGGACATTCCAAGGACAAAAGGAGAGGTGGCACACGTACACTTTCTTACGGCTTACGCTTCGTGTCTAGTTCCCACATTTAACCACCTCGAGTTCATATATTTACTAGTTCACTGTATTCATGGCACTGCGGCCAAACGCTCGCTAATCCTTTCTAAAACCAAGGAGGTTACGCCGAGCGAGTATAACGTAGCAACCCTTTCTGTCAGATAGTGCTCAATCTACATGCTAATGGCTGCTAATAGGGAATGAGAGACAGGAGAATTCGGCTTTTGATTTGTGTCTACTTCCCACCTTTAACCACCTCGAGTTCAAGGTATATACTAGTTCACTGTATTCATGGCACTGCGGCCCAACGCTCACTAAACATTTCTAAAACCAAGGAGGTTACACCCAGCGAGTATAACGTAACAACCCTTTCTTGTCAGATAGGGCTCAATGCACAGGCTCATTGGCTGCTAATGGGGAATGAGAGACAGGAGAATTCCGCTTTTAGTTAACGCGCACGCTGCGAATTTTTTTATTGTTGAACAACGCACAGGAGAAATCTCCCACCGGCACCACCTTGCAGGCCAAAACGTAAGACTGGTTACGCACTACGACGAGGGACGAACGGGTACCGCTTCAAAAAGCTTCGCCCCTAACACACGGGAACTTTCAAACAGCTCTAAAAATTCACAACTATGTTCATCTAGCAAAAAAACATATCATGTCTTTCCAGAAGCGTTTATCAAGCAAACATAGAGAGAGAATAAAACATTTATTTGCGACCGAGGAAGGAGTGTCGGTGAGTGAGCTGCTTAGTCCGGGATCCCATTGCCTCGAGCCGCTGTCCTCACTCGTCTCACAAACAGCAAACGCTAGATAATGTGCTGTCATCTGTGAGGAATTGTGAGATCTTTTATGATCTCTAAGATGGCAAGCACGCCGCGTGTATCTAGGAGGCCATGCGACTCTTCCTTTATATCAAAAACCTGTACGTACCATTCGCGCACGCTCACGCGTGCGCGTGTGTGCGTCTGTGTGCCAACTGTGAGACATTGTGAACTACGTGTCTCGACAACAGCAGAGCACCGTTCTAGCAGAGAGAAATGGCCACACTACACAGTCTCGCTCTTGAATGAGTGCCTGCGAGACATTCATGTGAAGTAGTGCCCCACAACAAACGAGCCAGAACGATGCTAACGTTCAAGCACGAGCAACTGGTAGCACTAACCACACTGCCTTATCTGCGGCACTTATTGCAGCATCTGTGTCAAATGGTTCTCGATTACGAGGGAGGCCACACATTACCGAGGTGCAAGGGCACACTATGGGCTGGATTTCGCTATCGCGTTCAACGCTTAAAAACGAAGTTTAGGGTGTCCCGACTGTTTTTTTGTGTTTTTTTTTTATTTCGTGCGATAATGGTTACGGACACAGGCGGTGGTGGCGGCGGACAACTTGCATTGTAAAACAAGCCTTTTTAAACCTGACCAAGCTTTCAAGGATAAATTATGGACACTATACGAATAGGCAAAAAGAATGAACCCAGTAGCCTGATTTTGAACCGATTACAGTTCATTTACGGCATATCTGTTTATTGGGGTTCAGGACGAACGATGTACGTTGGAGCGTCAGCCTAACAAGTGGTATTTACGCTAGCATTAAGACATAACGTAAGTACCACCTGGGAAATTGTAGTAGTTGACTAGCAACCGAAAGGGTGCTAGTATAGTGTGATGACACCATTGTAGGTGATGAGACAATGTGCCACCAACGACTTTGAATGACTGAAGTGATTTAACTGGAACAATAATGACTGAATAGGTAAGCATGAAGGGGTTACTATGGCGAGAAATAGAGATAAGTTCTGATTTGTTAGAGTGTACATTCATTGGCCAACGAATAAAGCATCTTTATACATAATCGAGGAAGTGCCGAAATCATGTGTGAACACAAGTTTTGGCTACTGTACGGTAGATTACACAGTCATCTTCAAACATGGTAAAGCAACTTTATCCTGGCTTCAATAAACTGTTAACATTGTTTAAAAAAGTAAACGTCCTAAGGCAGGCCCTCGCTGACTGACTGGCATCACAGGTATACCGTTAGAACAGTATCGATAACCTTAGTCACAAATCGATAACCTTATTCACAAATCAATAACCATAGTCACAAATCAATAACCTTAGTCATGGTTGCAAGTATACATGGAAGAACGTAAGGAGCTATATTTACAACAAATAAGGAAGTTTTCTAATTAGAGTCGCAAACGTTTTTGGTTGCCAAGAAATAACATTAAGGTCACTGCGCATGCAGGAAACCCAAACAGGGCGACGGTTGTGCGTCGGGAATGCTGTTTCTCGGATTTAGCACGAGCCCCTAGAACTTTCCCAAAAGCGTTGCTCCAAATAAACATTATGGCATCTAATAAAGCGAAAGCTCTCATCTAAGACGAAGCCGACTAGATTTATGAGCACCTGACTGGGTTATGTATGAATAAACACTGGCATAGGCTATACAACAAAGCTGACATGTAAAACAAAGAATGTCTGAAGAATAGTCCGTCTTTTTACCACATGTCTATCTGAGAGCTCGTATAGTTTAGCGCGGCAAGAATGGCTACAAGTTGAATTGTCTTTGCTGATAACGTCAAGGGTGTCGGCTCTCAGAATTGATGGAGATTACCTCTGAATTCATATCCACTACACCTGGCAAATGGAGAATGTGAACAATACGTGCAGCAAGGGTAAATTTCTGTAAAATCTCTTCGTTATCACTAAATTTTACTTTGCCTTTCGTCATCGCGGCGCTGCAAGAGCATTACGCCAACGCTGAGCGTGAAACCCTATTCGGAAACTCTTACCTCCTTCTTTCCCAAAGCCAGCACAAGCGAAGCTCTTTGGCACCCCAAACTTTTGGGACCCAAGCATATTTGAAAACTCTAATTTCGGGATTGAGTGTTTGAGCGGGACAATATCATGTGCTTCAGAAAGATAAAAAAAGTGCATCAGTATGAATACTACAGTCAAGGTGAGAACGTAGATCGTAATGCAAAATATTGAGTTGAGCTTCGCAAGAATACCTTTCGGGAAGCCCATGTTATAAAAGGCGAAAATGAGTATTCAGGTCAAGAAGTTCTTGACTAGGTAGTATATGACATGCTTCATAATTGGTTATCGCATTAGGTAGTGTTTCTTGTTCATTTACGCTTCTGTGTTAGAGACTACTAAAAAAATCCACATAGACACGCTACATGCAGTAGGTTTGTAGTGCATGCTATGGGTGTGCGCCGGCATTTACGCAAAACGGTCATAATTGTAAACAGGCGCGTATGACCTTGTTTTCATCTGCGTTCCTTGCTAGGTCCCATTGGCAGCACACCCACAATAGCGCCCATGTAACTTAGAAGTGTGGCAGCCACTGATCTCCACTAGGGTTGCTGGATGGCGCTTCGCCGCTGTCGCGGCCTGGCGCACGCACGGCCACCGGAAGTTCAATGGCTCGTCCCGGAAGTTGAGCGTCTGCTACGCTTCTCAACCGCTGATCAGCGTTCCCATTGACGCATTTTGCATTTTTTTCTCACTTAATTGCATTTTGGTGATAGACATCGCGTTCAGATCACAACTTATGCTATACCGAAACACGCGACGTTAATATGAAGCAGTTTATAATTGCGAAGGAGAACGAAAATGTCACTTAGGTATCGGTTCGAGAGGAGACGACGCAGCTCGAACGGGATTTATGCTGGCGAGTGGACTTTATGATTCGTGTTAGGATGCACGTCTTACAATAAATTAACAGTCATGAAGGGGCTTGTATTAGTCGAAAACAATAAATCAACAGCCGTGAAAGGCCTTGGATTATCGGAAAATCAACTAGCTAAGCGAGTTCGATAACAACGCGGAGGAAGCTGCCTGAAACAGAATAACCGATTTGATGTTTGCTACGTGCCGGCCAAAAAAAAAATCCTGAAATGGCTGTGCGCAGCTTGCTCCTGTTTTACCTTTGAAGGTTAGTACATCGGAACCCTTTACAATATGAATTCAAGCATATGTGTGTAACCAGCAGGTCAAAGTAAATTCTTTTAAAACGCGCTTTCTCATCATTGCCTGACAAAAGGTATCGCCCTTTCTCTTGAAGGAAAATTTCTAGCTTATGAACACATTTATTGCTAGTTTTCAGGGACACCCACCCATTGCGCACACGCAGTGCCTAATGCAAACTGGTCTATCCAGATTTAGATTTGCCTAGTGGTTACGGCTTCAATTGGACATTTTAGGGCAACCCTTAAAGAATGATAAAGGACGACGCGTGGAACTGCTTCATTCGAATTGAGAGGCCTGCAATTGTACGAAAAACTCATTTACTCAGAACGTTTGTGCACGTGTCCTTGTTACTGACAATGCAGTGCCTGGAGATGGTTGGCAATAGTGCATGCAAGTAGATATTTAAGTATGCTTCCTGCCTCGCCATTGAAAACAAAACAGGCATACATGTACAAAGATGGATTTCACGTGTTTATTGTACTCGAAGCACTTAAGAACTGCCACGTCACGTCACTTCACTGGTGACTGAAAATAATCAAGTCTGCAAGTCGCTTGAAGCACTTAAGAACTGCCACGTCACGTCACTTCACTGGTGACTGAAAATAATCAACTCTGCAAGTCGCTTGAAGCACTTAAGAACTGACACGTCACGTCACTTCACTGGTGACTGAAAATAATCAACTATGCAAGTCGCTTGAAGCACTTAAGAAATGCCACGTCACGTCACTTCACCGGTGACTGAAAATAATCAACTCTGCAAGTCGCTTGCGGATGTTTGGTCCTGTTATCTTTGCAGTAGCTTGCTTCGTGGCATGGTGCATCCTGATCTTCACGTAGCAGCCGATGACACATTTAACAAGACGCACAAAGTGGTTGGAGTCAACTGCTGATTCGAACATATGGCCATGCAGTTCCGGATAGAGCTTGTTCGTGTTCAGCACTCCCGAAAGTTCTGCCATAACCTTGGCTGTCACATTGTCAGCTGCATTCTTTTTGGAAGGCCTCCATCGTGAACCTTCTCCTGCAGTCGAACAGCTTTTTCAGTCAGCTGACAGATGTACGTTGTCGATGACGACGGCTTGGAAAGACCTCCACGGTTTTTTCTGTTCAGGAGTGCCGAACCACATGTCTCGGCAATGGTGGCCGAGTAGCATACTGCGCAAGGTATTTACGTTTGACCATTCGGCAAACAAACCCTGCGATGTAACCAACGACGTTTCCAAGGTACGGAGACAGTGCAGGGAGATCCTCAACTATGACATCCAGCTCGCTCTCGTCGGGTAGGTCTATGCCTTGCATGAGGTCTTGTGTGCCGCTTCGCTTTGCTGTGGCCATGTCGAGCTCATCGTTGGAGCAAAACTGACTGCTCACGTACAGTATGCGCGTATTGTCAAGAGACACACAGTTCCCTCGCCCACCCTTCACCTGGTTGTGTGTGACAAGTCGCTTGTATGCCGCCACAAATTGTGAGACTGTGGGATTGTTATTCCAGCCCCCTTTAGAACGCACAGCGGCAAAGAATAGTTCAATGTGGTCTTGTGAAAGCTTGTAAGTAAGAAAGTAACGGAGTGGAGCATTGTCCGAGAGGAGGAGCGCGGATGCCAGACCGATGACACTTTCAATGGTCACCAGAAATCCTAGAAATGGAGTTCTTCTGGGCGTTCTGAAAATGGGAACACCTGATCCGTCAGTCAGCCCCCGAATGTACTCCTTGGCTTCTTCGAAGAAGTTCATCCAGGTTCCCTTGTTGCTAGGTCGGAGCGGCGCTTTGAAACTATTGGCCACTGGGTTGCGTGAATTGAGGAAATCAAACAGTTTATCGAACATTCGAATAAATACACAGTTCCTTCTGAATTTTTGAACTGTGGGAGTTGCAAGTCTTCACGACAAAAATCTATGGCGTCAGCCACACTAGTGCTTAAAGTCTGGACAGCAAGGTTGACTTTCATCTTCTGTTTCTGCCACTGAATGTGTGCAGCACGTAGTTTTGTTGCTGCATGCAGGCCTTCTTTTTCTTGAAGTTCTTGTAGCTGGACAATGTAGTCTCAGCTCACCGATGCGCCTGATGCGTCCCTGAGGCACCCAAGAGCAGAAAGAGCATTTCTAACTAACTTGACCATGTGACATGCGTCTAAAAGGCAGTACACCTTTTCTTTTGTTACAGGGTGAGGGAATGATGTTGACATCGCTGATGCATCTTCAACGGAAGCCCCCAGGTCTTTGAACATTGTAAAGTTACTACGGAGACCATCACATGTCAATGATGTCGCGTGCACTCCTGTCTCATGCAACTTTGTCAGGCAGAGCTTCGCAATGTTCGCACGCTCTTTTCCTGAAAGACCATTGATCAAAAAATAGCCACACGGTACCTTCCAGTGGGAGTCCAGAGATACGAGCATGAAAACAAGGGCTTCAGACGCAACTGCGTTACTGTCATCGTCCACTTCATTGCCAATATCCACGTAGCCTCGAAATTTTTTGCCGTCCCATTCAAGGTGCTTTCTAATGGCCATTTCATCAACAACAAGGTTGCAGAGAAGCTGTTTGTTATTCTTCTTAGCCTCATTGGCTTTTGCTCGGATGGCGTTGATTGCTTCGCTTGTGAATCCAGGTTCTCCGTTAATGGAGCTATACCATTTAGTTATAGTCGATGGATGTGGCAAGGAACATTGAAATGTTTCTCTGACATAGTTATATGCCTTTGTCGAGTAAAACTGTAGCGTGAGTGCAAATGCACGCAGTGCAGGAGAATATTTGTCTCGGCCTAACTTAACAGACGACTTGTCGCCTTCACTGGATGTTTGCTTGAGCAACCGTTTCGTAACTTCCAAGGGGATCCCCGTGAAGCACCTTTCAAGCATTGCCGAGGCATCTTCTAAAATGAGCGGCTTGTGCTTGAGGTCATCAATTATTTCATTAAATGAGCTGACCTTCCTTCTTAACCGACGTTCTCGTTCAAGGCTGAGCTTCAGCTTTCTTTTCACTGTAGCCGCTGAATCTGTGCAAGCATCCAGTTTCCTCTTCAGTGTTTTTGGCGTGTCAAGGACGGCATAGCTGTGCTCGGCGACCTGAAAACAAAACAGTGAAAGTTAAAGCTGTTGAAAAAGACACCTTTCACAAAAACCACTCATCATATGACAGTCTTTGTAAAGCAGGCATCTGTTCGTAGCTTACGTGGTTTAACGCAGAAAATAAGCAACCAGGTGCACAGAGGAGTTTAGAAATTAACTTTGTCCCCTTCATTTACCGGTGCACTCGAGAAATGCCACATCAGACAGGAATTTCAATATTTTCCCTTGGATTAGAAAAACTGGAGCTGCAGCCATGAATAAAACCAATGTTCTGCTATGACTACAGAACATACCAGGACTACTAACTTGATTCAAATTGGATGCTATCCTGGTGTGCATAATGTATACAAAGTTATCGTGTTGGTTACCACGAGATTGCAAGAAAGTGGCCTGACTAACATCGGACTAGTTACATTCAACCGAGGACGGACCAAGTAGCTGCACTCGGGCAGCGTAGTACAAAAAAGGGCAACTTGCATGGGCCGAGTTCTCTTGCACCGTGGTTGGAGTGTTGTCGTTTGGCTGTTCCACTGGGGTCACATCCACAATGGCAGTTCTCTGCTTAGGCGGCTTTCTCTCAGCAGTCCTCTGAAACAGCCGTGTTTCATTCACAGTTATGCTTATTTATTACGGCGAGTGCAAAATGCTGTAAGTAAAAAAAATATGCTGGCGTCAAGCATATTATAGCAGTCTAGCAGTTTCTGAATTATACCACTAGCATCTTAGACAGCTATCATAGCACCACTGAGATATATAACGCAGATAGGAGCATTTCAGAAATTGAAAGAAAAAATTGGGCACTTAAAACTCGAGACCTCGCGCTTTGTAACGTAATGAACATGTTTTTCCAATTCCGTTTCATTGCTTGCAGTACATGGTTTTCAGAGTAAGTCTGCCAAACCATTCCTCAACCACAGCTTCTCACAGCTACATGTAGATTTTATTGTGCTCCGAGCTAATTTGTAGGGCGTCATTTTTGAAGGGACTCAGCAGATGAACTACGAAAGAAGGTAGCGCCCATTCAGGCGATTTCAGTGTCTAATAAACGTAGCATCAACTGTAGGGGTAGTTATACGAACGCTAAACGAGCGAACTGCGATGGCCGAACAGTATGCTTTTTTTTTTTCCGGGCCGCTATACCAAAATGCCGAGATGTCGTACTATACCTTTTCCAGGTGCTTCGGGAAAGAAAACAAGGTGGGCACGGCGTCAGGCTGTAGCCGAGTTCGTGCGCCCGTTCTGTCAAAACAGTTGTCAGTATAGTGGTAACTGCAGAGTATGCTACTTGGGAATGGAGTCCATTTGTCCCTTCTTAAGTTTACCACCCAACGCCGGTATAAATCCGGCTTAGAGCGTGAGAACCTGCGTAACAAGAGCCACAGCTTAACAACGACACTGATATGACGTTTGCGTTTCGCTGCGTATCACACACGTCGCACAGAATATTGTAATACTTACAAGTGGAACGTCTTCCCAGACGACTTCTCTGGTCTGCTGGCGCAGTTGACGGCGCAACAAGCAGGCATTTTTAGCAGAATGCGCGCGAAACCAGCCCATACGTAGCACGCACTATGCTGGAACGGCGGCCATTTGTCCGACTTCCGGGACGAGTGCTCGAACTTCCGGCGGCCACACGCCGGAGAGCTCGAAGCGCCATCCAGTACCCTAGTGGAGATAAGTGGTGGCAGCTTGTGCTAGTTGGTATGGCATGACGATAGTTATAGCGCGAGAACAAAACGACGACACAGAGACAAGAAGGGAGGTCTTTCGTGTCCTTCTTGTCTCTGTGTCACCGTTTTATTCTCGCACTATAACTATCGTCAGTGCCCGTGTCTTACACAAAGGACACTTTGCCAATATTAAAACGCATATGTCGCGCAAGAGCAGTACATTGTGCTACGAACGTAGATCTGAACAATAATATTCACAATATGTTACTAAACTGCTGTACGGTTACAAGGCACGCTGCAGTGAGGAACCCCGGAAAACTTGACCGCATCTTATTCATTACCGTTCCCTCACATCGCACAGCACACAGGTTTCTAGCACTTCGCCTCAATCACAATGAGGCCGCCGTGGCTTGGATGTCATTCCGCTACCTTCAGTTTAGCAGCCGAGCACCTTAAACATCGTGTACTATTGTAACGACGTTCGCTCTTTGCACATGGGCTTCACCCGGTGAAGAAATATATGCGATAGCAATGAATTGGAGTGTTACGCGAAGAAGGGCAATCACATCGGAACATTCAGCGCACTGCTGAAGCAAGAAGCACGCAGCAACACACCGACCGAGGACGAGCACGAGCTAACAACGTTCACAACTCGACGTTTAATACACTCCTCAAACACAAAAGACGTACGAAACGTAAGAACAGGTATACACAGGTTGAACATGAACTATATCAAGTCTCACAGATGTTATTTCGCTGTTTGAACAACGCGCACCTTTCGCAAACTGGGCCTCAGCAGGGAGATCACTGTAGTACAGTATGTAACTTCAACGCGACCTTTCCGGTGGAAGTGTAAGATGTAGAAACCACTCACCCTCACGAGATAAGCAAACGCCCACGTGGGACCACGCCCCGTTGAACCAAATGCACGTCCTAAACGAGTGCACACGTGGCATCGAGCGAGGCGTCGAGCACGCTATTCGCGTCTCTCGCTGGTAATTAAGAGACCACGCAGGAAGCCCACCGAGGTTGGCGTACCACCCGCGGTAAGTGGTGCACGTAAGTACCTCGCCGTTAGTGGTGGTGACGGCAAAATCCAACCGAGCGTGTCCCTGCCACTGGTAATGCAATAATTATTCATTTTTACAAAGATGTATACGTTTCCTATACTCCTAAGTTAGCGGTTTATTTCCCTGTAGTCATATGTTCGTCTGTGCAGTTTACGTGTAATATTAGGATATATTATGAGAATGATGATGGAGTGAACTTTATTGCCCAATTACTAAGATCAACAAGGAACACTCCGCTTCACTGAATTTTTTCGATATTGAGAAAAGTAGCGATAAAAAACATTGCATAGATTTCAGCGTTGCTTGTAGTATATCGGATATTTAGACCCAACACGGCGGTCCCGTGGCTAAGGCACTCGGCTGCAGACCCACATGTCGCGGGATCAAATCCCGGCCACGGCGACCACATGTTCGACGGAGGCAAAATTGTTGAGGCCGGTGTGCTTAGATTTAGCTTAAAGAGCCCCAGGTAGTAGAAATTTCCGGTGGTCTCTACTACGGCATTTCTCACAATCTTATCGTGGAGACGTTAAACCCCAACAAACATCCTTATACATGTTAATCGGTTCCATTTAGACAACCACAATCAAGTGCATTTGAAGATCAAGAACTGGCACTTCACATATATTTTTACTTTAAAGTAATAAATTCTTAGCGCGACCTAACATAAAATGAAGCTTTGCTTGTACAGTTTCAATAGATTCAATTTTAATTTCACCCTCATCAAGCGTCATCAAATAAACACAATAATAGGCAAGAAAAAAGAATGGTGCCTCTCTTTCAATGCAATTATATGCGCCTTCCTCACCCTTTATGACGTCTAAGCATTTTCCCAGAACAGCGTGCATATGCGAGCTAAACTGATTCATTGATGAAACACTCTACGTGTACCAGATAGGAATTCGAATCCTATCTATAAGAAGAGCCGATTGCACGAGTTGCCGTCGGATGAGCCAGTGATAAAGCTTCGATAAGAGAACACAACAATTGGCACTGGCGCAAGTTTCAAAATTTCTTAGAGCACTGTGCAATAAATAAGGTGAGTGTCAGCTGATTGTGCGAGCTGCACCTTTTGGGGGCATTGTCCAATGTTTCGTCCGTGGTGAGCACTTCAATATCCTGAAGGTAGCCATGGCGTGCAGGTGAGCACATAGAATTCTACTCTGGGGTATGACACTTGAATGATTGATTGATAAGTAGAGTATACCGTCCCCAAAACCACCATATGATTATGACAAACGCCATAGTGGAGGACTACGGAAATTTTGACCACCTGGGGTTCTTTAACGTGCACCCAAAATTGAGCTTACGGGCCTACGACATTTCCACCTCGATTGGAAATGCAGCCGACGCAGCCGGGATTTGATCCCGCAACCTGCAGGTCAGCACCCGAGTAACTTAGCCACTAGACCACCGCGGCGGCGCGACACTTAAATGAGCACATCCAGTCGGACAAGCCACCTATGGAATATTTTTTTTCTCTGTGCGGCAGTGATGGTTGGGGGTGGAACTTACTCGTCTACTTACATAGTGGCTAGCGCCACTCTAAAGTAAGCTTATCAAAGTGTAATCGTCGACCGAAGGTCCAGATTCCTCTCATGTACTGATCTAACAGTCGTGAAGCTTGTGCCATAGAACTGTAATACATCTGAGGCTTTTTTTTTTGTAGAAAAGCCAAATGCCCTTTCAATGAAACTGAGAAAAAGGCACTTTTTTTACTGACAATTTGGTTGGGCCTGCTCAAACAACTGTTTGCCAGTACGCGTCATATCTTAACTTTATGTGTAAATTATTCAAATATACCGTGTTGGAGTAAACGGAGAACGAGATACTGTTGCGCTAAAGTCAATAAGAATGACTATAAGAGGGGGAAAAAAGGGCAAGTCAGCCTCTCAGTCTTTACAATCGAGTTTTGTCATTGAACATCTTGTCTTTCAGTAAGCGACAACTCGGACTAGAAAACATAATTGTGTAAAGTCAACAAGATTACAAAGCGACTAAGACACAAAGGAAACACATTGGGTGGGACCATACTGGTTAATTTGATCACGCTTGCTTGCGCAGTGCTGTATTAATGAATGTGGGTCAATTTCATTGAAACATTTGGAGTACTTGCCTCATTTTTTATTAGAAAATACCTTTTTGAGCTCATGGTACAGAAAGGCATTCCCCCATTCTGATTCTAACTGCTCCGGAAATTGAAGATACTAAGGCGTGCCTTACGTCCCATAAAACTTAGCCTAGTTTCGGTTTCTTAATTGGGGTCTTTTAAAAAAAAAACGCGTCATCTTGTTTATTTCTTTTAGTCGACTGTTATGTAGACTTTTCTGAACTTATTTTGACAGTTCAGTCATGTTTGGGCCGCGATTTTCACTCTTTCAGAGCAATGCTGTCTTACCCAGTCATCGCTCTTTTACGTTTCAGGTCTTTGTGTGCGGCCTTGATATTCTTCGCGGTCGCGTGCGCCAGCTGCTGTCATGGTACGTTACAGCTCCCGTAGAATAGAATTATGATAGCGTGAACGGTGTAGCGATCCTTGATCGTGGGCCGCAGGTCGGGTGAATGAACGACCACGATAGCATTTGGCCTGCCTTTATTGCATCATTACAGATGTTGCTCAATCACCATCACCTTGTAAATGCTACGCCCACACACTCCGCGTTTGCTTCTACGACGTGTTAAGCTAAATCAAATGTTCGTCTATTGGGTTCACCTTTCCAAATTGGCTCACACTAAAAAAGACGCCATAGTGGAAGGCGCCAGATGATTTCGTACACCCGAGATTCTTCAACGTTCTCTCACATCGAACATTACCTTTGATATATGACATGACATGTCATCGCCTCTAGAAATTCGCCTTAACGAAATTGTGACCACTGCTGCCGAAATCGAACCTATTATGTTTGCTTTCTTTAAACTCCCGTGCGAAACCAAGATTATCTGGTCTACAAGGACAGAAGGAAGCGTGAACTGAGGGGCATGTTTCTTCAGGCACATTAAAGTCTTGCAGAAACTAAACTTCAAGCGCAAACTTCCGTTTCATTTTGTCTATTCTATCGGTGCTCTCTCACGCAACCTTAACTTCAAAATCGTGCGTTTGTGCGTACGTTTCGTGCGCCAATGTGCGTGACAAACGCGCGTCACGTTCCGATTTGCTTGCCATTATGCGCGTGACTTTCCTACTAGTTGCTGCAGCATTCATTGCGTCGCCTTTGCAGCAAAGCTGTGACTTTTTTTCAAGAATGAAGAACTCGACATACACACACCCCTGTTTTACGTCATGCAGTTGTAGTCAGTGCTAATGAGTCAGTCCAGATGTGTACGTCAGTGAACTAACCAAGACGTGTGTGTGAGCATATATGCTTATCTTGGCTAACCAATGTCCAGCCGAGGAGCAACGGCACAAACCCCCACAACGCTTAATAATTAGAAATGCTTTAAGTAAAGCTGGGACTCGTCGGTTGCAGGGTCTCTCGGAGCAAGTAAATCGCAAAGTAAAACGTAAACCGTGAACCCCGTGAAGTTCGTGGTACCGTAGTGCAATGCAATGCGCACAAAAATCCCATTCTTTAGTTTTGTTTCCCACTAACAGGTGGCGCAAAATGACAAGCGTGTCCTATAACAGTGACATCAGTGGTCTACAGGCTGGCGATGCAGATTATGAAGGAAAGACTGCAGGTATGGATAGAGGATGAGGGGGTGCTGCGGGAACTGCATAATGAGTTTAGTAAACACAGGAGGTTGGAAGACAATCTGTTCTCATTGACGCAGTGCATCGAAATAGCAGAAAAGGAACACAGGCCCCTGTGGCTAGCATTTTCGGATATCAAGAAAGCGTAAAATAGGGTGGTTTCAGAAGAATTGTGGGGAATACTGGTCACACTAGGCGTGGAAGATGTAGTCACTAATCTTTTAAAGGATATTTATAAAGGTAACAAGGTAGTTATAAAGGGGGAAAAACAGGTATCCAAGCCTGCAGAGGTAAAACGGGGGCTTAGGCAGGGTTGTCCGCTGTCACCCTTATTGTTCATGATGTACCTACAAGGATTAGAGGTCAAATTAGAGGGAAGTGGACTGGACTTCAACCTCTCTTTCGTCAAACAAGGAAAACTTAGTGAACAGGCACTACAAGCATGGATGTACGCAGATGATATAGTGCTAATGGCCGACAACAAGGAAGATTTGCAGAGGTTGGTGGACATCTGCGGTAATGAGGGAGATAGGTTAGATTTCAGGTTCGGTAAGGAAAAATCAGCAGTCATGATTTTTAATGACAATGAAGGTAGTGAGCTTAGAATACAGGAGGTCACGCTAGAGATAACAGATAAATACATTTGTATTTATCTGGGCGTATAGATAAGCAATGCGGCCGAGTACCTAAGGGAACACGAAATATACGTGACGACTAAAGGTAACAGAAATGCAGCGGTAATCGAAAACAGGGCACTGTGGAATTACAATAGGTATGATGCTGTGAGGGGAATATGGAAAGGGGCCATGGTTCCTGGTCTAATGTTCGGAAATGCGGTCTTGTGCATGAGATCAGAAGTTCAAGCAAGATTAGAAATTAAGCAACGTGGAATAGGTAGACTTGCCTTAGGAGCTCACGGGAATACACCAAATCAGGAAATACAAGTTGATAAGGGATGGACATCATTTGAAGGCAGGGAAGCTGGTAGCAAGATCAATTTCGAGAGGTGATTGAGAGAAATGGGGGAGGAGCGTTGGGCTAGAAAAGTATTCAGCTACATGAAGAATGTCGATATAAAATGGAGGAAGCTAACCAGAAAATTGACTGGTAAATACTTAGAAAACAGCAGGGGCCCAAACCAAAAACAATAATCGTTTATTAAGAAGGTGAAGGAAGCTGAGACCGATATGTGGAGAATCGGCATGATTAAGAAGACCACACTATAGATCTATCGAACTTTTAAGCACGAAATTGTCATGGAAAGGATCTATGACAATACTACGAGCAGTTCTCTACTGTTTGAGGCCAGGACGGGATAATTGCGAACCAAGACATATCGGGCCAAATACGAAGGGGTAGACACGGTATGCAGTGCGTGTGGAGAGGAAGAATAAACTGCCGAACACTTGACAATGTTCTGTAAAGTGCTTCACCCTATAGTTCAGGACGATGGCACAGAGTTTTTTAAAGCACTGTTGTTTAGGGATAGGGAGGGCAAAATAGACTTTAAGCGAGTAGAAATAACTAGGAGGAGGTTATCTGATGGGTGGCTAAAGTCAAAGCACGAGTGAAAATTAAATCTTTCACTGCAAAGTACGAATCCTCAACCTCACTATTTAAAGGGAAAAAATTAATCTAGTTTTTGGTTCATTAAGTATTATGGCTTGGTGGCGCTAGCCACCGCCCGATCTAAAGGGTACAGCCATATCCATCCATCCATCCATTGTGTACAAATGGGCGGAAATAGCATACTTTTAAGTTTTACCAACGTCGGGTCTGATTCGAATACCTAGATCGTAAGGGAAATTTCACGATGGGTGTTATCAAAAAAACTCTAGGCGTAACAACCAGAAAAAAAATATTTGGCAATATTGGAATCGGCATTACCTGGACGGACGTTTGCCGGCGAATCGCTGTATGTTGAGGCGCCGGGATTTTCTCTGTACAGGCCGCTGTTGCTTCCTTCCCCCGGGACCAGATTTTTCTGGTCAAATGGCAGATGCACACAAGACAGTACAAAGAAAAACCCCTCCTTTAATTCCTAGGATCATTGAAATTGTCTTTTTTTTTCTACAATGTGTTTCGTTTGCCCCTGCTGCAGCACAGACCACAAAGCATACGTTCTACACGTTTTGCTTCTGGGACGCCTTCGCACGGTGGCGGCCAGCGCCACACAGCTTCAACGTCAGCGACATTCCCGCCGAGTTGTGCGATGCAGTGATCTATTCCCACGTGACCATCGACAACAACACCGGCTCGGTAAAGCTCACAGAGAAAGAACTGCAGCTAGGTAACGACCCCGCCTTGTTATTACCTGCGCACCTCTACGTATTCATTCTTCGCGCTCTATGTGTGTTGGTTTGCGCTGCCGTTCGAGTACGTATCCTAGCCGACTATTTCGACTACTAGCGCTAACTAAAGTTGTGTAGAATTCATTTTCTCGTATAGTATGCAGTATGGCAGGGACACAGAAGTACATACTGAAGCATTCACTGGAACCTGAATGGCACCAATACACGTTTATATTGAGGTATTCCTCTTTTATTTTGTTAGTTAGCTGGTTAGTTTGTTAGTTAGTTCGTTAGTTTGTGAGTTAATTGGCTAGTTACTTTGTTTGTTTGTTTGTTTGTTTGTTTGTTTGTTTGTTTGTTTGTTTGTTTGTTTGTTTGTTTGTTTGTCTTCTTGAATCATTGGGGCGGTGACTATTAGGTCGAAGGCCTCATCACTCACAGTAAAGTGAACAATCTACATAACAGCACATATGTATCTCGGCAAAGGAGCAAACAAATACCAACGTCGTGCACAACAAAAAGAATGCGTAAATCAAAACATCAGGGGAGCACTGCAAGATCTCAAGAGTACCGGGCAGGCCCTATACGTCCTATGCATTTTGGTCATTTTGATGTACCTTTTTAAAAGGTATCACAAAGCATATTCACATGATCCGAAAATCATATTTTTTCACAAATTTGCCGCTCTTTTAACTGAAGCAGGTTTTAAAAAATTTACAGCTGCTGCCAACGCCCCGTTCTGAGATATAGCTGTGACTTGTACATGTGAGAGAAAAAAAAGTGTTGAGAAAGCAGCACGTCCTTCAATGTGCTTTTTGCAGCTCAACCAGACAGTAACCCGAAGAAAAAGTAAAAAAAATTAAAAGCCACGCTGAAAAAAAAATTGTTTTTTTTTTAGTCTTCAAAAGGTGTCCCTCTCATCAAGGGAGACGGGTTGTAGCCCCCTCGATCCTCGCCTTCCTAGTAAATCCTTGGTTTTTGGATTGTTGATTCATTCCTTAAGCGTAGGTAGACACCATGAAAAAACGTGGACGGATAAGTAACATGCAGAAAACGCAAGCGTAGTCTTGTTCTCGTGTTTCTTAAACATCCGTGTTTCTTCCACTTGTCCTACCAAATTTCTTTTGGGCACATATGGGGTACACCGATTTATTAGTTGAAGTACAGAAGCCCCCCAGTACTTTTACGTCATTTGTATTCATATTGCCTCGCACGCTTCTTTGTTTCTTAGATTCGTGTTGCGGGAATTTTGCCTGTATAAATAGTTCCTTGCGAAAATGGAGTGGGATTGTCTGCGAGCCTTCCGAATCATTTTGGTAACGTTTGGTTAGGCTTGAGCGCAAACTTTAACCTCTGAATCCCTTCTAGAACAAGCGTGGCCACCAGTGATAATACTCGAATGTTCAACGCCGCTTGTTTAAATGCCGGCGCGCCTTCTTGGGTTAGTCTATCGACCACCGATACTCTATTCGCCGTTGTCACTGTACGTACAGTGTATATTCCTGTGATCTGGCATTCCGTATCACGGCCACAAGTTCGGCCAAATGAAGAGTTTCATCTTCGACAAAGGGACTGCTGTCTTCGCTCATGTCACCTTTACGTGACAATATTTTGAGCGATCACTCAAAACAGATGTTGATACAACCTTCGTGGTGCACATACGTATCTATAAGGTGCGGGGCAGAGCTTCGTGACAACACTGCCCCTTTTTAAATCAGAGTGTGGGGCAGAATTTGACCCCCCCCCCCTATTCGGGTGCACACCTATAGACACATTACGTAAATACAGCGTCTGAATCCTGTCGCCAGAGATTTCGAAACATGCAGCAGTAAGCTTTTCTTCTTTTTTTTTAGACCCAGAGGCCAAGGCTTACTCAAAATCTGGGATGTACAATCCCATATGGATGCTACCCCCACATCGTAAGTGAACGCGCTGTCTCTTCTATGAATACTATGAAAGTAATATTTTGCGTATGGTTATGGTATTCACAGCAGCCACAGGCTGTTTCCTTGATTAACAACTTTTCTTTTTCTATGACCAGCATCTAAAGGCTGCTGTGAGAACTATCTCAAACGTTTAATCTTCAATGTACCCTCTGCAGGTGTCTTAAAAGTGGTTCGACGAACGCTTCGAGAAACTAGCATAGCATACTATTCGTTTTTTTTAATGGGCGCATGAATAGAACAGAAATTCTTCTATTTAACCACAAAAGTAGCCTTACAACCTTCCAATACCGATTTTACTGGGGGCACCATTGGGAACACAAACACGAGTTGAGTTTACATTGGATGTCGTCTGCATACATGCGCCCTTGCAGGTTATTTCATGCGATCTTGTGAAAACAAATCTGCCTCATCACTTGCTGGTACTATGTCACGTGAGGGGGAAAGGTCAAGGTTCCTTAGCTAAAACTTTGATATGTTCCCTGGTCACAACGGGTAGCGCACGTTTTATTATCTTTTTGATGGAATTCTTTATAGCTGAGCCACTTGTTTATAGTCACCAAACTGGACAATGCTGCATGTTCATCTTGTTGTTAAATTCAGTAGTATCGTTCGTTACTCTCAAAAACCATTAATGTTATGTTTTTAGCTTATTTTTAAAAATCAGCAGGGCCATGTGTAGACTCTCCCTTGAAGTTTCGATAAACTCGGCATCAGACGGTGTTTTATGCAGCAAAATTTTCAGTCTTACTCGTACCACATAATGGCCTTTTTTGACCAAATGCCCCTGTGTTCTCTTTGTTCATCTTGCGTTAATATAACAAGTATATATAATACCTGCTTGAAAGAGCAAACAAAAGAAACACGCCCACGCAGTCTTGCACTAGCGTGCGTATTTCAATAAAGCAAGTATACGTACTTTCCCTTATCTTAATCTGCTATGAACTGCTGCTCGAAACTACTGAGCGAAAACTACATGTCATTCTCTGATGAATCGCAACCGATTGCCAACACGTTCAAGCTCCAAACTTAAACTGCTTCCTGCATTACGTCACCTGGTTGTTTCCTATTTTCTTGTCATGGTTTCGCCCAAAATGTTGCAGGTTCCAGTTTTCTTATTGCTTTATTACTTTTTTTTTCTCCACAAGGCGCCTTTCGTGAAATGAGCGAGCTGAAGAAGCGTAACCCGAAGCTGAAGCTACTGCTCGCCATAGGAGGCCCGCACGAGACGATCGATCGCTACTGGCAGTTCATACCGCAGATGCACCTCTGGCGAGACATGGTGATCAGCATCGCGCAGTGGGTCAAGACGTACGGCTTCGACGGCATCGTGCTCGACTTCTTCTCGGGCTCGAGGACAGCGCACGACCGCGAGTGGAAGTGGGAAACAGCTAAGCTGATTGACCCTTTCATTTGGGTAAGGCTTATCGAAGCCTCAGAGTATGAGACTCACATTTTTAAGAAACATGCAAGGCTCGGGCGTGTTTCAGCACGAGAGGTTGCTACGAACACGGCTTTTTCTCTACTTAACTAAGACGTGAGCAAGAAAAGGATATGCAGTTTCCGAAATTTTGCAACCTGCATGTTCGCTTCAAACTCTAACACCCCACTTCAAACTTGCATTACTCGGCGTTTTAATTTTTTATTTTACTCGTAAAATGAATACATGACACGCTAAAAAACGTTTCTGCATTCAATGAAAAATGGCCTTTCAAAAATGAAAAAAAGCGTTTGTTATTGAGTCACTTTCAATTATGGTTCCGTAACAATTGTGTGCACTATTCCTATGATTGCTTCTATGATGTTGAAATAAGCGAGCTCTTTTTTTTTGTCATTCTGTGTTTGATTTCATCGTAACGTGATACTTTTGCTGAAACACTTCAGACTTAGATTTTTTGTCCTTTTCAATGTTCTGTTGCATCGTTCTCTTTTAGCTTTAATGAATGAAACGAAATTAACTTTATTTGGACCAGGCTCTTTGTGCTTCAGCCCTAACGTGGGTGGCCTCCTCAGTCCAGGTAGCCATGACTCGCTGCCGCCGCTCGAGCCCAGTTCACCAATCGTAGCTGCTTGTCAGAGTCTTGCGTCACCAGTAAAGCCTCCCACTGGTCTTCGAATGCTTCCTCTTTATCCGTTTGTTTCATATTGTTTGCGTTTGCACTTGTCGGTGACGACGGTGGTATGTTCGGATTATTGCGACACTCCAGCATCATGTGGCGCAGAGTTTTGCGCGTGTCTGGGGGGCAAAACTTGCAGTCCCGCCTGAACGTTCATGGATACATAGCGTGCATGGATGTTCCTTACGGGTAAGTTTCGGCTTGTAGTCTTCTCTATATCACCGCTTATTCTCTACTCAGACTCTTGTGTGCTGGCGGGTACCACTTCTTCTACTTCCTGTAGTGTGCCAAAATGTCTGCATACTTCTTCGGTATGCACTCATGCTCGTCGTGACAGCCGTCGGTGCGTGATGCCAGCGTGTCGGAGATGGCTTGGCGTGCATAACCTCGAGTCACGACGTGCGCCGCCTGGTTCCCCACGAGAGACTCGTGTCCCGGTGTCCAAAGGATGGTTATTTCGTCCACCTTGGTGCTTTTTAAGACATGTAGTGCTGCGTTTCCAATCCTTCTGTTCATGAAATTGAACTGCTCTGGCACCTTTGGCTTCCACAACACCAAGAACACAGAATCTAAAAATTGTGCGAATGCGAAAGAAGGTTCGCAAGAAAATTTTTAAGGGTTATGTTACCAGCTAAGCATGACGTAATGCATTTCTGGCGGTATAATAAGTGGCATACGTAATCTTATTTATCGCTGAATACGTAATGCCTTGAATTTCGAAGGAGCGAAATATAGAAGCTCTGAAAACAGTACGAAAACATGCAACAAATTGCCTTATGCAAAAGGTCCAATGCACCATAAAGCGCCTGTTCTGAAACACTTGAGAATCGTTTACCTTAAAGTGGTGAAAGCGTGTTGGTGCTTTGACGAAAACTCGTAACAGAAAGCACAAATTTGGGACGATTATTTGCTTTTGAGGTATTCTTTCTTCTCATCGCGAAATCTTAGACACTCAATTTTAAAGAACAACCTAATTACTGTAATTAAATGTAGAATTTAGCAATGGCACTTATACGAATTCATGTCGTTTTGTTCAGCAGTTAAAAGAAGCTGCATTTGACGATTACCTTTATTCTGACAGTTACGACAACTACCGTCCTTCAATATTCTTCCCTTGTTGCGTTCATTTCTATGCTGCGCACGTTTCCACTTCCCAAACTTGTGAGGCAGCTTCACGTTCAGTCACTTACCCGTTTATTTGCAGGAAATACGCCAGAGGTTCAAGCAATATTTGCCAAACTGGCACATCATCCTGACGCTGCCCGCATTCGACAGTTCCAATCACTACCTGTTCGACATCAATAGACTCTCACAGTAAGTAGTGATCAGGCTTTGTTCAGAGGATGTGACGTGCAGGATACCAGCAGTAATAAAACAACGGCATTCTTGGCCGTCCCTATGGCGCACTTAGGCTTCGTTTTGTTGTTAGCTCATAGTGCATATTCATGTGACTGGTTATTTTGTTCATTATTTTCTATGTGTTGCCTGTTCTTCATGTTTTCAGGTGCTGCAAAATATGACGCGGAGCAAAAAAAAAACAAAAAACTGCACAGGCTATTGCCCAATACAGGGGGATCTAGCGTCAACCAGTGTTGTTTCTCATGTCTTTTTTGTCCGAGCCATGTCCGAGCACCAAAACATAATACGTGCCAACTAGCTCTATGCAGTTTTAAAAGATTGTTCTTAAACATTTATATTTTAACAACACATTTGTATACAATATGCTTTAGCAATAAGTATGCTCATTTGACTGTTATTCTAACTTAGCTGTTGTGTTAAGCTGTAAATTGTGTGCCCTGCGTGTTCGTTATGCTTGGAAAAAATGTGGACACAACATGCTTTATGTTCGACACCTTAACATATAGGTGGTATTAGAATAACTGTGTATGTTACCTCTAGGCATCAGAGTAGCACATTCGTTTTTAAACGCCGCGAGCCATCGTGCACTGAGGAAAAATTGGTGCACAGGCCGCACCACTGAAAGCTGTTGCCATGCACCTAGAATCTATCAAGTCACCATCGCGCGATCGTTGGTGATCTTATTTGCGCTAAATAAATATCCTTATGCTTCGGCAGCAAAGTATTTGCTTGTATTCAGCACCATTTTTTAAAGACACTGAAATAATCAATGCCGTAGACTTGGTGGGGCGCTTCTTGAATCTCGGAGGAGCTATATTTTGTATTTGGGAGTGGTCGCTTATCTTTCATAGTTGGCGACCCTTGACCGTATGGCAGCGGCGGTGCATTTTCTTCGGCACTGCGCTACGCCTTTGCGTTTTGCGTTACCGGACAGTCTGAAAAATGCTTTTGAACTCCCGTGCCAGAGTCCTGAAAACAGATGTTTCTTCTTTCTCCGCCTGTCGTTGACACTCCATGCACGTTGACTGGCGATCAGTGACACGCTTCGTCGATCGGCGACAGGCTTAAGCAAGTCACTTACAAAAGCAAAGCGTGCCATGGCTTTTCCACGTAACTGCAGTTGCTAAGCAGGGCAAGGTGGCGGACCTATGCGGTACTCTGCTCCCGTATGAAGCCTATTCATCTTTTCATAAACGCCTCCCTGGGCGCCGCCATAGCCCTCCCTTGGGCTGTGCAAATTGGCACGTCCCCTCGAAAATGCACTGACAACGCTGCGCCCTTAGCCTTTGTACTCCCGCGCACAGCCCATCATGGCGGTGTTTTTTTTTCCTTCCTGTGAAAAGGTGTATACTAGCTAGTAGCCGGCGCCATATTTGTGCACTAAGATCTTGCATATTTCCAATAAAAGTATTAATATTATCTTGTGCTTTACGTGCCGAAAATTCCGATACGATCATAAGGGACGCCATCAGGAAAGGCGCTGGAATTGTTGATCACCTGTGGTTCTTCAGTGTGCACTGTCATCGCTCATTGCCTGGGCCTCTCGCGTTTCGCTTCCACCGAAATCCACGCGCCGCGGCCGGTATCAAACCCACAGCCACCGGATCCGCAAAAGAGCATCGCAACTGCTACGCCAACGTGGCGGACTTGCAAAATGTCAGAATGCGCACTCTCTGAATTTCTGCGCAGCGTGTACATATGGTAAGCGCTCGTAACGTGGTAAAAAGAGTAAGTCTGAATTGCGACGCTGTTTTGCGCATTTAATAAAGGTGTTTGTTTCGTTGCGTAGTATAATTATAAATGGCTGGCAAACCTCTTATCCAATATTTCTCTGACTACGTAGGCCTTCATATACACTAGTGGGTTTTCTATACACAAAATCCAAGCCTAAACATTGTATATTGTGCGTCGGCTTAGGGCGAGCTCGCGCTGATATCTAGGTGCACGTTAAAGCAACCCAGGTGGGGTCTGAACGTCGTCTCGTAATGATGTGGTGATTTCGCGAACCAAAATCTGGAGAGTTATCGCTGTTAGACTTGTCTTTCTTTTCTGACACCTTGTAAACGTTACGTCCACGCCAGTGTACACAATTTTGTGTCATCTATTCGGCTATGAAAAGCGGGTGTGGTAAGCCGAAATAATGTGGCATTAGGTGGCGAAAGATTTTTGTGACGCCCTATGTCAAATGTGTATTTATCTTTCTCGCCTGACTTTCCAAGAGCGCCATAGTTGGAGTAAGACACATCGACCCGTCACCACTGAAAATAGGAATCGGGCGCATGTAGACGCAAAATGCACCTGATGACGCGTAAGGCTAGGATGAAACAGACAGGTGAAATGCTGTACGATGCTAAACATGTCATCGTTCTATGTACGCCGAAAGTCGCACTACGCCTTATGCCTTTCGCCAAGACCCCAGCCATGGTGGTCCAGAGAATGTGGCAATTCATTATTTACAAGTAGGTTGCGGTGTTTCAAAGGAGGTGCATTTTTGAAAGAGGTGGGAATGCTTGAGACCAGTGTTCTATATAGGGGCACGCTAAGGAAACCCATGTCGTCGAAATTTTTGGCGCCCTCTACTATGGCGTCGCTCATAACCATATCGTGGCTTAGTGGTGCTTAACCCAGTAAGTTATAAGTATTATTATCTGCTTAAGATGACGGAAATGCGAAACCATTCTTGTTGTTCTTCCTGGTCCAATGGGACCAGTGACAACGTCAACCGTTGACGTCATCAAGTGGCGTCAAGGTGACGCCACGATGAGGTAATATTGAGCCATGGTAAACGGCTCATTTTCTTTACATCACTCGTGTCAGTGCCGCCAACGGTCTGTTCTTTCGTTTGGTCAGTAATCTAAGGCTTTCACATTAAAAAGTTGCAATTCGTTGAACTAATCAGAAAATATGCACTGTAAACATGGCAGTGCTCATGCAAGCGCATGGTCGTCCAGCTTGGCCAAAACTCTTTAACAGCGCGAAACAACTCAAAGTCGTCATTGTGCATCGGTACGCCTGAGGATAGACAGAATACTTGCATAAACAGTTGGATAAATGCACAATAATGTACACAAAAGCTTTTTGCGTGGCCTGGCGCGAAGTTGCTACTATTTCTCATATTCTCTGGGTGTGCGAGTCACTGGACCGGATGTTCACCGACGAAGAATGCGACATGCTCTTGCGAAGTCCCGTCTATGAAGAACAAATTCTGGCCCCCTAGGGTGCTTTTGATCGGGCCGGTAGGCTACACCTGGCGGTCTCACCGTGGAATTAGCCCGGTGCGCGTTTTATCACTTTTTGCGGTGCCAAATAACACTTTACGCACTCACTCATTCGCTGAAATACACGTGACATTATCGTTTTTTTTCTTCTTTCCAGGCAGGTGAACTTTTTCTTTGTGAAAAGCAGTGACTGCCTCGAATTTCCACAGCTTGCCCGGCTGAACGTATCAACGACCATGGACATGTCTGACGTAAGCACACCACCGCCGTCTCGTCCGGTACAGCATGGGCAGTGAAATACTCGCATAAGAAAAAAAACATATTAGAAATGAACTCCCATATAACATTTCTCCAACGAATGCACCGGACGTCTCTATTTCATGTTCTCTTGTGTTATACTCTCTCCCTCCCTATCATTGCCCCAACCTCTTGCTGATGGAGAGTGTTAAAAATTATAGGACCCTAATTTTCACCCTTAGGAGTTGAATGTCATAGAGATGTCCCGTTTTTAATGCGTACTTCAAACACTTATTGCATGACAGTTCTTTGAACATCCTATGCACCCGCCACATGGCCTTAAGGGCGCAATAACGTGTGTGCCTTTCGCAGTGGGTCAATGCCTTTAAACCACGAAGTCATTATGCTAAGCATATGTTCTGAAGCCTGATTGCATGGGCGGCTGGACCACGCATTACTATTGCAATATTTTATGCTGTATTGTGAAGCATGTATATGGGACGCGGATGTTTATAAAGCACGTGGGACGTTCACTGTATTTCCGTGCAGAGGAAGTTATTTTCAATGTACTCACAACCAAACGCATTGCCGTGTGGTAGAACATCCGTTTCCCACGCCAACAACTAGGGTTTGGTCCCCACAATCACCCAGGGCTTTTTTTTATTTTATTTGTATCGTTTTAGATGTTTCGGCCACGCAGTATTTGATGATTTTTCGCTCACAACCAACAACGCTGACGCGGAGACCGACGCCGAGGCGGTAATTCCAGCGAAACGAGCTCCATGTCAAAACAAAATGAGCAGATGCATATTTTATCTGCGGTATTTTAATGCGCAGCTCTCTCTCGTGACTACGTCACCTTTGGTTGACGTTCGTAGGTTTTGCAAAACTGTTTTGTATGCTTCTATATATATTATTGATCTCTCAGGCGAAAACCACCTCACTGTTGTAATGTTGCTCTTACTGTCATCCGTCTGGGCTCTCGGTAGAACTGTTCGTGAGATTTCTATGTAAATAACCCTTCAGCAGAAATGCATAGCATACGTTCAGTCACTACGCAGCTTCGCCATTAAATCATGCAGGATCTGTCTGTTACAGACGTTCAATGAAGTTATGCGTCATTGTCACGTCCTTGCCGAACAAAATTTCACGCAGAGTGCATTTAGGCTATGGTGTTTTGCTACTGTATACTATTTTTTCTACTGTTGCTTTTTTCCTACGGTATGACGAAATTTTTTATGACAAAGCATTTAACTTTGCCCATTTTCGAGTTCCTCTATGCTGGGCCACTTATAACAAATTGATTTATACGTAATTTCAATATGCTTCCCGAGATGATGATTGAAGTGATGAATGAGAACTTCATTAAGGGCCAGTGGTGATATGGTTGAATCATACGCAGGTTTCGGGAACGCTAATCCTGCACTGTCATAGTGCGTCAGGCGTGTATTTTTTTTCGGATTAGCACTTGAATTCGGCCACTGCAAAGTGGTCTCCACCGACGCAGCATGAAGCTACGGTGGCCCAGATGTCAGGTTGAAAGAGCGTGTGTTATTATTATATTTATTATTATTATTATTAATTATTATTATTATTATTATATTAATATTATTTTATTATTATTATTATTATTATTATTATTATTATTATTATTATTATTATTATTATTATTATTATTATTTATTATTATTAGTATTATTATTATATTATATTATTATTATTATTATTATATTATTATTATTGCGTTATGGCCATTGGTTTTTATTGTGATTCCGCATTATCTAACCATTTATTTCGGCACTTGTCATGCAAGACAGTGTCTTTCGCGTCTACATTCGCTTGAACAAGCGAATATCAGTTCAACCAGACATTCATGCAACGAAATAACTTGCCTATCCAACTGTCTTCAATGTATCAAGGATTGGCTATATTCATCAGGTTATTGTTCCCCTATCTCGCAGATTGACAGAATAGAACTCATGGTGAAAAGGGGAGCCGAGCGCACGAGAATTGTTCTGGAAGTCCCCCTGTCAGGTCGCACCTACTCGGTCACGGGTGCCGGCTTGGGTAGGCGCACCCTTATTCGCCGGGCCAGCGGGTAAATACACCAAGCAACAAGGATTCTTATCGTCATTCGAGGTGAGAAAATGCAGAGTGGTTCTGCTGCTACATGGTCGGCAGCCTACAATTAAGGCACTAGTGGTGCATGTTTTACGCGTAATACGAAGCCCAAGTTGATACCCTTTTACAGTCTTCTTGGCATTGCGCGTACAATTCACCGTGAAACCAACTTCAAGAAGATCGAAGTTAGCTTAGTTTTTGTAAACTGGCTTACTCACATTATAAAAAAATTTTAAACTGTATAACCCCAATTTTTGTTGCAGTGCAGCATAATTATAAATAAAAACTTGCCCCGATTGTATCTGGTGCAAAATCTGCAGAAACAGCCGAGCCTGCTGTTCCCCTGTGTTCTCCTTGTGATTACCGCTTTGTCCGCGACCGAGGCAGTTAGGCCATTTTTGTGTGTACCTGAAAAACAGAGCTTCGCCAGCGCTCTCACTGATCTCTCCTCTGAGCCAGCGCTACAGCAGCTCTACTTCTAAAAGCCGTACGCACATGTCGCGAAGCGCACAATTCGGTCTCGTAGGTGTTTGTAGTTAGCAAACGTCCCTTGAATGAGCCATATCGGCACATCGATGGCATACCAGCATCTGTGGTTCTAGAAAAACGTTTGTTTCTTGAAATTACGGCCAGATGGCGTCTATATCTAATGCAGCGCCTACTCACAGCAACCCACGCCCATGGAATCCAACACTAAGGATCCAACTCACCCATGTACTAGCGCAGAGCTTCAAATAAACGTTTTAATTCCTCTCTGAAGACAGAAGGCTATCGTCTTTTGACGACCTTTGCCAGACGAAGGACGCAGATACAAGGCCGATTTCATCTTTTTTTTTTTTTGGAGGGAGGGGGGAGGGAGGGACAAACGCATTTTGATCTGTATTTGCTTATATTTACCCGACACATCTTTCTTTTGCATGATAGCTTTCATCGTGCTTTGTCAATAATCATGAAACTTTACGAATTTACCCATCAATGTATGTTCCCATACCTTATCACAGTGCTGCAATATAAAAACACACACGACACGGCCACACACAGAGGAAGAGTTTATCAAGATGCCCATGCAGGAACTCGTTTTTTGTTGTTGGTTTAGTACCCAAGTGTGTACCAGAATGTCCAACTGAGCACGAGTACTGACCCATAAGCTCGGCTGTCTGTTGTTATAAAATGTCTTCCAGGTTTGCGACCATCTTCTAAGCGGTTGGCAGCAGTGGCGCTCAAGTCCAGATTCCTGTCCGTATCTGAAGGACGACGAAGAATACGTGACCTACGAGGATGAAGAGAGCATTCGCAACAAGGTTAGAATATTTTCCCGTACATGCACAAACACGTAATGTAATAGCTACAGATGCTTCTGTGAATGAGGAAACGGCAGGTGTGGGCATCTGCCGTCTGTCTGTCGCTTGGCTGGTCATTCGCCGTGAGGCTACCCGGTTATCACTTCGGTTTTTGAAGCTGACAGACTCGTGGCTTCAGCTGGTTGTGCAAGAACTTTCGACAGATGAGAGCCGGGTGGTAAAAGCGGTTCACTGTCGGTAAGCAAAGCTCTTTCAGCCTCCAAAGCTATCATGCTCTCAAACCGTTACGGTCGTTAGCTCCGTCTCAGCTCAAGCGCCCAAAGTTAGGACGGATGAACTCGTGCTAGCATATCTTCAATTCCCACTGTACGTGGACCTGGGCATTTTATAATTTTGTTTTAGGTCTCCAAAACGTATTCACATAACCATTTCAGTTTTAATCTACTCATCTATTGGTCCATCCCCGAGAGCACGTGCGTGTGTGATGGAGTTCTTAGAAATATTTGAATTAGACGGACTTCATTGCGTCACTAACCACAACGTCCGTAAGAAAGACGGCGAGACTGCTTTCTGTTTCCCTCACTTTATCAAAAAACCACACGAACATGAAACACACAACACGTACTAATGGAATAAAACAATCCAACATCCTATTCAAACAGCCCTAAGCAGTCGCAGCTAACAGAGTAAAGAAAAACATTATAATTCAATCAACCAAAGGAACATGCAGGATTCGAACAGGCTAGTCACCAATTGACCACATTCATTGCTATCAATCAGGTAATATAGAAATGCTCAGAGTATAACCAACCACTATACATATGCCTTCATAGAATTACGAGAAGGCGTTCGATTCAGTAGAAATATCAGCCGGCATGCAAACACTGCGGAATCAGGGAGTAGATGAAGTATATATAAACATTCTGGAAGAAATCTACAGGAGATCAACTGCTACCATAGTGCTTCATAAAGAAAGCAACAGAATACCAATCAAGAAGGGTGTAAGGCAGGGGGACACAATTTCCCCCAAAGCTATTTACCGCGTGCTTACAGAGGTTCTCAGAAGCCTAGAATGGGAACAGTTAGGGCATAAGAGTCAATGGGAGAATACCTTAGTAACCTGCGCTTCGCCGATGACATTGCATTGGCTGAGTAACTCGGGGGACGAATTGCAACTCATCATTACGGAGTTAGACGAGGAGAGCAGAAAGGTGGGTTTTAAAATTAATCTGCAGAAAACGAAAGTAGTGTACAACAACCTCGGCAAGGAGCAGCGCTTCGAGATAGGTATAGTGCACTTGAAGTTGTAAAAAACTATGTCTACTTGGGGCAGGTAATGACCGAAGAGCCGAAACCACGAGATTGAAGTAACTAGCAGAATAAGAATTGGGTGGAGCACATTCGGCAAGCACTCTCAAATTATGACAGGTAGATTGCCACTATCCCTCAAGAGGAAGGCATATAACAGCTGTATCTTGCTGTTGGTATTATGTACGGAGCGAAACCTGGAGATTATTACAAGGAGGTGTTCAGCTTAAATTGAGGTACCCGACGCAGCGAGCAATGGAAGAAAAAATGGTTTTAGGTGTTAACCTCAAGAGACAAGTAAGGAGCGCGGGTTTTGTGGCCATTGTGTGGACTAAACGGGGGGTAAGGATATCATGCGAAATCAAGAAGAAGAAATGTGACATTGGAAGGCATGTAGCGACTGTAGACAGGATAACCGTTGTTGTCAGTAGGGGAGCTGACTGAATTCACCTAGAAACCCCAGGGAAGCGGTTAGGGGGCGACAGAGGAGGTGGGGCTAGATGAGATTAAGAAGTGTGCGGGGACTAAATTGGTCAGCCAGCAAGCACCAGGAACGGCGTGTAATTTGGGGAGTATATGGGAGAGGCTTGGCCGCACATTGGTCAATAGTCTAGGCTGATGTTTATCTTTTGATGCTGTATGGATTTGATTGGAGATGATGATTAGGATGATATGAGTGAGTGAATGATGTAAGATGCAGTCGCATAAACAAGTCTAGTTCACACTTAACCAAAAGACTCAGACCGGTGAGTTCTACTAGAAGGCGTCGGGGACGTACACGGGGAGCAGACACCCGCACGAGGATGCTGTCGTCGAAGGAACTCGGCGAGGAAGAGGGCGACGCTCACGCGTATGCACCGACACATTAGGTAGGTGTCGAAGACAGGGCCGACGAAGTCAGGCAGTCTTCTTCTCGGACGCGTGGACCAGGGGCCACAGCCAAGGACTCGGGCAAACGCCTGACAGTGGACCTGGTGGCTACGGTGACTTCCCGCTCGCTTCGTGGGCCATCGAAGCTTGAGGTCAAGCGAAGCACCAGTCACCATTGAGTCGACCCATTGAGTCAACCAGCTCAGTCACCAGCTCAGTCACCATTGAGTCAACCACAAGGTGCCTCGGCATCCACTAGACGCAAACGAAGCGACGAAATGTTCTTGTCTAACGCCGCCTTCTCGCAAGCCTTCCTTGCCTCATGCTCTTGTGCACGCACCTCGCGCTTTTCCTGCCTTCATCGGCCTAGTCTTTGGCAACTACCTGTTGCGTGGTGCCTAAATCTGAGCGTCTCCTTGATATTCGCCGAATACCTGTGGTACCGACAATCCCTTGTTTCATCTCCTCTGAGTAGACGGACTCCGCATAAGCTTCAAGCAATCACCGATGAGGCGCTCTCGGGGTGGAACTCATCATGTGCTTTGCTTTTCAAGGTTTTTTTTCTGGGTGGCATCGCGTTGTGTTTTTGTATAAGGTATTTGTTGCGTGTCTATTTTGGTGTGTTGTTTTGATACAGGGAAGCAAATAGAAAACAATCCTCGCCGTCTTTCTCACGGACGTTGTGGCCAATGATGCAATGAAGTACGTGTAATTCACTTATTCTGAAGAACCCCGTGAGAACGTGCCATAGTTTTTGAAGGCAAAACTAACAAATAAAACGGCTCCGTGTATTCGTACGATATCAATACTTTTTTTCGTTTCGTAACCATCATTGAGTAAGCTCAGACCCCTGAAGACGCCACGAGGAGCAGTTGTGAACATAAAATAGGTTAGCTTGGTGACACCTGTTTGTTCAGGTCCTGTAACTTTTATAAAAGGCATATTCACTGTACACCTGCCCCATCGCTTACCGTTGCGAAATCATTCAATATACAATATTATGCACGCGTATCTTCCCTTGGTGTCCGTTTCCGCGATAGCAGAATGGCACTACCCAAAATCGAACACCACCTATACCATTAGGAACGCCAAAAGAACAAAACCACCTCATCCTAACCCCCCCAACCCCCCCCCCCCCAAAAAAAAAACCTGAAAGATTCAATTTGGGGACATTGTGGGGAAGTTATGCGCGCCACATTAGATAAGGCGGACGTTCGGGGAAACATGGAAGTCTGGACGCATGAAAAGTCTTCATACATGGGAAATGCCGTTGTAGGCAATGTTTCTACAAGGGGAATGCTGTTGTAGGCAATGTTTCGACAAGTTTTGTTGCTGCTGCTTTCTAAAAGAAGACCATATGGCGAGACGGTGGCTCCAACGACAGGCTATGTTTAAGGATTTTCCGTAACTCCAGGCTAAAGACGTGTATTGTGCAACTGACGAAGATAACCTGATACGAACAGCCATTCTTGGAGACGCAGGTTATAACGTGACGTTCAGAAATAAAAACTCAAGTGCGTCCCATGTTACATTGCACTTGAGGAAGACATTTAGGGCCCAAACATTGGTTGTTTTGACGTGGTATACTTGATTTTTTTTCGTTTGAATACTCGGATATTCTATAAGTCATGCATGCGTATCTAGTCCTGCTCTGTCCCGATCATCTATTATAATTTCAAAGATGGGAGCAAGTGCATAAGAGCGCGTAAAGTGCATTACTATGGGCTACGTACCAGTTGGTAATCTGCAAGAGAAATTTCATTAGTAGGTGTGCACTCTAAGAAAAACAGATGCCTAGACAGCTGGGCAAGTTTGTTTGGATTCATGGTAAAAAGTAGTAGCGAAAAAAACAAGAATGAAGCATAGAAAGAAGGCGTGTTTTGGCATTTCTTCTTGTGTGCCCATTTTTTTTCACGCTGCTCGCTACTAAAAAAGACACTGTATGCGTTAGTCTTTTCGGTGAGCCTTGATTTTCCACAAATATGACTCTCTTGAAGCCGACTCATCTACTCTGTTTTGGGTGCCACTACTCTCCGACAAAAGCATGTTAATCTCCAAAAAGAGTCGGTCTGTCTTCTAAAAGACAGACAGGAGTGAAAAAGGAGAAAAGGTACCTTACTTCTTCTTTAGGTAGGGAAGCTTTCTGATCAGCGTGAAATAGTTTGATCCTAACGGAGTTATTCTGCCCACAACGAAGGCCTTATACTTGGGTTTTTATTAAAAGTTCGCCATAAGGTGTATTTCTATTTTATTAAGCTGATAAGTGCCTTAATTAAATTCGTCAAGTACATCGTAGTTGAAAGTTAACGTATAATGTTGAAGAAAGCATGCCGATGTCGCTAGCATCTAGAAATGTGCCGTACTTTAATGCGTCCGTTGTGATAAGTTATCGATCATTGGCGTCACACCTCTTGCTACATCGCAGGCAAGCATGATCATCGGTCGCAAGTTCAGAGGCGCGGTTGTCAGGAGCGTCGACCTGGACGACTGCAATTCAAAATGCACGGGAAAGTCCAACCTGGTCAAAATGCTTCGCTCTAGCTTTGACACAGCAGCGCCTGACAAGGACTACCCTTACAATCCACCGACGGCCTCATGGTGGGACGAGGACATTTTCAAACTGATGCCCACCACCGCCCCGCCTCCGAAGGAGACAACGACAAAACCACCTGAGGTGCCGACGGGGACTCACAACAAAGAGCCAGCGAGCACGATGATTCCTACAACAGGCCAGTCAGTGGCGTCATCTATTACGGTACCTGCCTCGAATGACCCGCGAATGATTCCGAGTACAACCGAGAAGGTGCCGCCTGCCGTAAGAACCAGCACGCCCACTATCGGTGAAGAAGTGACAGCAAAAACTGCTCAATTGCCTTCAAAATCATCGACTCTGGCAGCTACGGAGGCAGTGACATCATCCGTTACGGCACCTGCTTCGAAAGACCCAGGAATGGTGCCCAGTACACCAGAGAAGGTGCCACCTGCCATAAAAACCACCGACACCACTATCGAAGAAGAAGTGACAGTGACACCTGCTCAATTGCCTTCAACATTGTCGACTCTCGCGGCTACAGAGGCAGCGTCGTCATTCGTTACAGCCCCTGCCTCAGAAGACCCGCGAATGGGGCCTGGTACAACCATGAACGTGCCGCGTGTTATAAAAACCACCACGCCCGCTATCAGTGAAGAAGTGACAGTGACACCTGCTCAGTTGCCTTCAAAATCATCGACTCTCACGGTTAAAGAGGCAGCATCGTCAACCGTATCAGTACCTTCCTCGAATGACCCGCGAATGGTGCCGAGTACAACCGAGAAGGTGCCGCCTGCCGTGAAAACCAGCACGTCCGCTATCGATGAAGAAGTGACAATGACACCTGCTCAGTTGCCTTCAGAGTTATCGACTCTTGCAGCTACAGAGGCAGCGACGAAAAAGAGTACCGATGAGATCTGTAGAGAAGACAATGAAAATGCCCTGATGCCGCACGAGTCCGATTGCACCAAATACTATCACTGCGCGAATTCCAAACCACACCTCCAGAAGTGTGCCCGGGGAACTGTATTCGACATTGAGCGGCAGATATGCAACTGGCCGGCGATGACAAACCGACCCGAATGCAAGGAATGGAAGGAAAATAGGAGGAAAAGAATGGCAGGGAGGTTAACCAGCCTTTAGGCTGCCAGTTTGCTACCCTGCGCATGGGAGGAGTATGGGGGAGAGGAAAGATAGAGAGCAGAGAGAAATAAACCCAGCACATTTGGCAGCACACGTGCACACGCAAGCTTTCTTGATGGGCTAAAGCGCATGAGTGACTGCCTTGTAAACGACACTCAAGCTACTTTGCGAAATCTTGCCCTTTCGTTTTTTTTAATAAACCGTGTTAGGTCACTGTTACATTCGTTGCACATTTGTACAAGCCGTAGTATTCTTCCAAGCCATTAAGTGGAATGGCTAGGACTCACCAGTACAGTAGGTGACAAATTACTCCAGTTGTCCTCATTCGAATTTTTTTTCATTAAACACAAGAAAATGCGGAGTCGATTTTCAAAATCTTTCATCTAGCAGCTAGAGTACTAACCGAAAGTAAATATGGTTATGTCCAACATTATATTCGGGAAGATTCAATCCCCTGCCCCAGCAGCCCACCATTACAGTAAACTACGAGCCGTGACCGCTTGATCTGTGAAAACCGATTTCGTAAAACACTGCATCTGTTCAAGCACAACACAGCCTCTACAAACGATAGGTCGGCGAACTCACTCATGTCTCGACTCACTCGAACTCACTTATACTAAGATCGAGCCATTAATCTGAGTGATTGCGAGCAAGTAATATCGTAATGAGTCTGACTCCCAGTAAATCCAGTAGAATAAAATTTTTCTGAGCGTGAGTCTTAGTCAGTAAGGCTAAGTAAACTTTTGGTAAACCTGAGTCCGAGTGAGTCCAAAGTGAGATATGTATATCTTGAGTTAGTCTAGGCGAGTTCCACTTCCTTTTGCCGACCTAAGTGTACGACACACATAATATTTGCATATTCGCATCAGTGACTTCTGCCTAAAGGGCAAGTCTTTAAAGCAACAGAAAGTAAATAAGTTAGTTTAATTGTTGAATAGCCAGATGACATCATAATATCCGTACGTTTGTGACTGAGGCAAGACTGTCGATCATGTGTCCACATAGCCAGTTTTTTTTTTCATCTCAGTACTGGTTCGAAGACCGCTGTTTACGTACATGTCATGCATGAGCTAACCAACAAAGACACATGTTAGCGAATTCTATGTTAATTAAAAAAACAATCATGCGCACGTTTGAACAAACTGGTGATGTATATTTCCACTGACCACGATCATAATATTTCCATCAGTAGAGAAAATGCTTTTGTCAACTTGTGTCAGCTTTCAAAATAAAGGACTGTTGAAAGAACTCACGCGAAATTATTATAGTCAAGTCTATTGGACTTCTTTGAAACGGTGACATAAAGCGGTCCGCAGCTCCACCAAGATTGATATTCATATCATTTTTCTAAGCTTCAGAGATGCTCATAGGCATTGTCCCCTTTCATTGAATCGCCATTTTTTGTAGAAAATTCTCACTTTATGAAGTGTTTTCCAACTTAGCCAAGAAATAATATAGCGTAAGGCACAAACGATTCCTCGCGTGAGTGAAATTTCATGCACATATCATCAGTAAAGTTGCCAGTGTACGCAAATTACTCACAAGTTTCAGAAAACAACGTATTCAGTGAAGGGACGGCGTGTTTTGTTGTAAACTTCTTGTAAGAATTTCTACGGCCGTCTTTACAGATATACCGGCAAAATTTGTGGCCATCCTGGTAATACTTTGGAGGAGATAAGCCATTAACTACCCCGTCTGTAGCGCCAACGTGCAAGTGTCTAAAGGAGCACACAGATAGATGATTCAATTTATATCCGTTATCCACCCGAGGCGCGAGCATGGGCTGAAATGGTCACTGCTAATTTCCGCTTTCATATAACCACACAACTAGAAGATGCAAAATAAACAAGTAAACGAAAAAACTGTTCCCGAGTACGGTGAACTCCGGAGGCCCACTAAAGTGGGCTAAAGACTTTCCTTATAGCTGCAAGGGGGGACTACCTTCAGATCTTGGGTACACCGGTACAAGTACTGCCACCTCGTAAAACATTTTGTAGGCAAGATTTCCCTCTCTTTGTACCTTTGTTTCAGTCTGTCTGTGTTCCTGTTTCTTCTTTCTCCTTTACCTCTCTCTACTTGTTGTCTCACACACCAGGTATACTAGCTGGCTAGATACCGTATAGACGTCACCGTGTCAAAGACGCAGCGGTGCGTGAAGCGGAGGCTCTGAAAGGCAAGTTCGCGAAGCCGAGGCAACATGGTAAGAAAGGGTTCATAGTACCTGAGAGCACCAAGGGTCGCTGCAAGGAATGCCTCAAGGGGATCATCACGCATAAACAGCTTCGGTGTATGGTCATTTCCACGCCTTGAATGAGCCATAGGCTTTATCCCTCTGTAACTCTCTCTTGCGAGTCATGAGTAAAGGTGCAGCACGGTTAAGCAATAGCACGTCTACTGCAATTAAAAACAATTCCAGAAACCAAGGTGCATCCCGCCTGGCCCACTTACGGCGCCCGTACAGTAACACAAGACGCACGAAGTATTATTATAATTATTATTAATATTATTATTATTATTATTAATGTATTATTATTTGAATCACTGGTATGGCGCAATTACTTGGCTTACTGGTGTTCACGCTGTGCAGATGCCAGCGCATAGATGAACGCTAAAGACGCATGCCTTTTGAGTGGAGGAGCCAGGTTCGACTCCCAACACCGTATGAGAGTTTATTTTTTAATGAACAAAAAACTGTTGGTTTCAAAGTTTTTAATGTTTATTTCCATTTCAGGTGACTTAAACACGGACATTTATGCAATTTTAGTCGTTGATTGCGTTAAGTGCTAACGCTCTACACATCATCGCTGCAGAATGATAGACCATTCCACAAGGTTTTCAGCGGAGCCAAAGAATGCGACAATGCACTCAGTTCATTTGATCAAGCGAACGTCTGACCATATACCCCCATTCCTTAGGGTCCTCGGGGCATTGTTGTTTACAACAGGGGAAACATGAGGCAGGGGTTCCTCTGATTCTGGCTTCCCTGAAGTATAAAGTCAAAACCAGCGAAAAAAAATTGAGGCCTTTATCACCCCTGATAGAAATAAACTTTGTTCAGACATAACACCTTGTCACGTGGGCATATTGTACGTTTATTTCGAACTAAAGGTTCCCCTGAGAAGCTGGCTTCCCCGCAACTCATGTTAAAAACCGGCGAAAAATTTTGAGGCCCTTATCACCCCTGATAAGCCTCAACTTTTGTCGGACATCAGGCATTGTCACCTGGGCATACTGTACGTATGTTTCGAGCTAAAGGTTCCCCTCCGAAGCTGGCTTCCCCACAATGCAGGGTCAAAACCAGCGAAAATTTAAAGGTCCTTATCACCCCTGATATTGCTCAAGTTCTGTTTGACGTCACGTCTTGTCACGTGGCGTACTGTACATTTGTACCGATCTATAGTGTCCCCTGAAAATTTGGCTTCTCCGCAATGCACAGTAAAAACCAGCGAGAACTGTTGAGACTCTTATCACCCTTGATAAGGCTCAAATTTGGTCTGACGTCACGCCTCGCCACGTGGGCATACAGCACGTCTGTTGCGAGCTAAAGGTTCCCTTGAAAAGTTGGCTTTCCCGCAACACATGGCCAAACCAGCGAAAAAGATTTTGGCCCTTATCAAACTTGATAAGGCTCAACTTTTGTCTGACGTCACGCCTTGTCACGTGGGCATATTTGCCATTTGTTTCGAGCTAAAGGTTCCCCTGAGAAGCTGGCCTGCCCACAATGCAGGATCAAAACCAGCGAAAAATTTGAGGCCCTCACCACTCCTGATAAGGATAAACCTTTGTCTTACGTCACGCCTTGTCACGTGGGCGAATTGTACGTTTGTTTTAAGGTAAGAGTTCCCCTAAAAAACTGGCTTCTCCGCAAAGTAGGGTCAAAACCAGCGGAAAAATTTGAGGCCCTTATCACCCCTGGTAAGGCTGAAATTTTGTCTAGCGTCATGCCTTGTCATGTGCGCGTACTGTACGTATGTTTCAAGATTACGGTTCCCCTGAGAAGCTGGTTTCCCCCGCAACGCATGGTAAAAACCGGTGAAAGATTTTGAGGCTCTTCTCACCCCTGACAAGGCTTAACTTTTCTCTGACGTCAGGCCTTGTCACATGGGCGTACTGTACATAAGTATCGAGCCAAAGGTTCCCCTAAAAAGCTGACTTCTCTGCAACGCACGGTCAAAACCAGCGAAGAAGCTTGAGGCCCTTATCACCCCTGATAAGGCTGAACTTTTGTCTGACCTCGCGCCTTGTCACGTGGGCGTATTGTCTTTTTGTTTCGAGCTAAAGGTTCCCCTGAGAAGCTGGCGTCCCCGCAATGCAGGGTCAAAACCAGCGAAATATTTTGAGGCCCTTATCACCCCTGATAAGGCTCAAGTTCTGTCTGACGCCACGTCTTGTCCCGTGGCGTACTGTACTTTTGTACCAATCTATAGTGTCCCCTCAGAAGTTGGCTTCCCCGTAATGCATGGTCATAACCAGTGAAAAATGTTGAGGCTCTTATCACCTCTGATAAGGCTCAAATTTTGTCTGAACGTCACGCTTTGTCACGTGGGCGTACTGTACGTTTGTTTCGAGCTAAAGGTTCCTTTGAAAAGCTGGCTTCCCCGCAACACATGGGCAAAACCAGCGAAAAATTTGAGGCCCTCACCACTCCTGATAAGGATAAACCTTTGTCTTACGTCACGCCTTGTCACGTGGGCGAATTGTACGTTTGTTTTAAGGTAAGAGTTCCCCTAAAAAACTGGCTTCTCCGCAAAGTAGGGTCAAAACCAGCGGAAAAATTTGAGGCCCTTATCACCCCTGGTAAGGCTGAAATTTTGTCTAGCGTCATGCCTTGTCATGTGCGCGTACTGTACGTATGTTTCAAGATTACGGTTCCCCTGAGAAGCTGGTTTCCCCGCAACGCATGGTAAAAACCGGTGAAAGATTTTGAGGCTCTTCTCACCCCTGACAAGGCTTAACTTTTCTCTGACGTCAGGCCTTGTCACATGGGCGTACTGTACATAAGTATCGAGCCAAAGGTTCCCCTAAAAAGCTGACTTCTCTGCAACGCACGGTCAAAACCAGCGAAGAAGCTTGAGGCCCTTATCACCCCTGATAAGGCTGAACTTTTGTCTGACCTCGCGCCTTGTCACGTGGGCGTATTGTCTTTTTGTTTCGAGCTAAAGGTTCCCCTGAGAAGCTGGCGTCCCCGCAATGCAGGGTCAAAACCAGCGAAATATTTTGAGGCCCTTATCACCCCTGATAAGGCTCAAGTTCTTTCTGACGCCACGTCTTGTCACGTGGCGTACTGTACTTTTGTACCAATCTATAGTGTCCCCTCAGAAGTTGGCTTCCCCGTAATGCATGGTCATAACCAGTGAAAAATGTTGAGGCTCTTATCACCTCTGATAAGGCTCAAATTTTGTCTGAACGTCACGCTTTGTCACGTGGGCGTACTGTACGTTTGTTTCGAGCTAAAGGTTCCTTTGAAAAGCTGGCTTCCCCGCAACACATGGGCAAAACCAGCGAAAAATTTTAGGCCCTTATTACCCTTGATAAGGCTAAACTTTTGTCTGACATCCCGCCTTGTCACGTGATGTATTTTCTGTTTGTTTCGAGCTAAAGGTTCCCTGAAAAGCTGACCTGCCCGCAATGCAGTGTCAAAACCAGCGAAAAACGTTGAGGCCCTTATCACCCCTGATAAGGCTCAACTTTTGTCTGACGTCGCGTCTTGTCACGTAACGTACTGTGCATTTGTACCGAGCTAAAGTGTGCCCTAAAAAGTCGGCTTCCCTGCAATGCATGATCAAAACCAGCGAAAAAAGTTCAGTCTCTATCACCCCTGATAAGGCTCAACTTTTGTATGATGTTGCACCTTGTCACGCGGGCGTACGTTTTGAGGTGAAGGTTCTCCTGAGATGTCGGCTTCGCCGCAATGCATAGTCACAACCAGCAAAGACGTTGATGCTGTGATCACCCCTGATAAGGGTCAACGTAATGTCACGAGGACGCCCTTCACGGCAGGGTGTGATGTCAGACGAAAGTTGAGCCTTATCAAGCGTGATAATGCCCTCAAAAGTGTTCGCTGGTTTTGATCAAGCATTGCGGGAGGCCAGCTTCTCAGGGAAACTTTTAGCTCGAAACAAACGTACAGTACGCCCACGTGACAATGCATGACGTCTGACAAAAGTTGAGTCTTATCAGGGGTGACAAGGGCCTTAACTTTTTTAGTACTTTCGACCAACTATTGCGGCAAAGCCAGCAATCAGGGG